GGGCGGCTGGCGGGAAAGCGGGTAACCGGCGAGGCGCGCTGGGCTCGTCCTACTCGAAGGAGCCGGGCGGCGGGGGCGCTGAGGGGGCGCGCTGAGGAGGCCCGGGTGGGAGGCGGGTGTGCCGAGGTGAGACCCCTACCCGAAAGACGAGCGGAGGAGCTGGCGCCCGGGCAGTGCCGCAGGGCAGGCGCGAGCAACCGGGCAGCCCCCCAGGGCCCCACGCGAGCCCGGCGGGCGCTGTGTGGCGCGCAGCTGCGCCCGGCCCTTTGGCCCGAGTGCGCGCCCCTGGAGCTGGCCTCGGCTCGGGGCAGCCGCGGGGGCCAGGTCGGCGTCGGGCGCTGTGGCCCCAGCCCTCCGAGCCTGCTCGTTTTAAACCTGTTTTTAAAAAATAACTTTCTCCACGTCCTTTTTTACTTTTCTGATACTAGGGTTTGAACAGGGCCTTCACGTGACCTACATTGCTAGCCTCTTACACCTTCTTTGCCTTTTTTTTTTTTTTTTTCTTTTTCCTTTTTTATGCCACTGATCTATATCCCTGGCCCTTTCTTTGCTTTTTGAGAAAGAGACTCAGTCCTTAAACTGACTAGGCTGGGCTTGGGCTTCGAGTCATCCTGCCTCAGCCTCCCGGGGTGCTGGAATGGCAGGCCCATTTTGCCACCACACTCAACCTTCTCTTCCTACTTTTATCTTCTTTTGTTTGAAAACACATGCTCCAGGGTGCACATACACCTCATAATCCTGTTGCCACTCTAGGAACGAAAGACCCTTGACCCTTGATTCTTTTTCTTCACAGACATGGCCACGTGTAATAACCACACCGGGCCCATGTGCCTACCCAGAGCTGAGGCCATTCGTTCTCGTCGCATTGTCCTGGAGCATTTTCAGGCCTCCAACCAGTCTGTGCCACTCTACACGACCCGGGAGATTCTTGGTTAGCAGCCTGTTTTCTCGCTGCACTCATTTAGGACCCCTGCCTATATCTTCCAAAACCCAGGAAGCAGAGAAACACATTTAAAATTCAGGGAAGACTGGTTTGGAGGTTACACCAAACTTGATAAATCATTTCAAGTGTTTTACAACTAAAGTACAATATTTTTCTCTGCACTGGAGATTACATGGCCTTCACCCTGAGTCCCACCTCAACCATTTATTTTAGCATTTATTTTATTCTGAGGCAAGGTCTCATTAATTCGTTAAGTTGCCAAGCTGGGCTTGAATTTAGGATCCTCCTACATCAGCCTCCCAAAGTGCTGGGGTTGCAGCCAGCCACCAAACCTGGCTTATGAATACGTCTTTGCCTTTTTAGGATACTACTCTTGATTAACTAGGAAAAGTCTCTGCCAAAGATACTTAAAGCTCAGAAGTTCGAGCCTGTTGCTTTTACTGTGGGTGTTGTCAGTGTTGGTCATAAGCAGTGCATAAACTTTCACCCACACTAACACATTTACACACACACACACACACACACACACACACACACACAATCTCCCTTCTGCTAACCTTAAACTCCTGTGCTCAGTCACCCTGCCTCAGCCTCTCAAGTAGATGGAACTGTAGTCAGGCTCTATCATTTTTAAATTTTTACTCTAGATCCTTCCCATCAGAAGTCTCTTAGGTTGAGAGATCAACACCAGCAAGTGCGCTTCTCCACCAAGCAACGGCACGTAGGACGGGTTTCACATGCCCAGCGACTGCTGTGTAGATTTCAAGTCCGCCACAGCCCTTGGCCGCCTCTTTCCCTGTGGGCTGAATGGGTCATTGAGCGTATCCTTTCCTGTTAGTCATTCTTAGTCATGGCTGTTCACCATCGGCCTGCTGGTTTCTTTTTCCCACACTCCTTTTTCCTTCATATTCTCATGGCTTATATTGTTTCTTCCTTTTCTTCCCTTTTTTTCTGTGGAGAACTCAAGTCCTCTCACTTCGGCTTATATTCTTGCCCATGTTATTTCAGCTGTGTAGATCAGGAAGAATCCTGCTCTGTATGTTTCCTTAACAGAAACCAGATCCTTGGTTCAAGAACAGCATCAATTTCCTCATCGTTCTGAATGCCATTGTACGGATGATTACAACAGGTGATAACTGAAAGGAAGAGGAAATTGGGGTTTAGCTTTCTTCTCATTTGATCATTTTACATTTTTAATATCATTTGAATGTAATAACTTGTGGGATAAATATATTAAGGCCCTTGGAATAGAAGTTGTGCAATTGCTGGGCGTGATGGGGCACATCTGTAAACCAGCACTCCAAAGGCTGAGGCAGAAAGATGGCTGCAAATTCAAAGCCAGTCTGGGGTACATAGGGAGTTCAAGGCTACCCTGACCTCCACAGTCATAAATAAAACAAAAAATTTGTGTAACCGCTAAGATGTGGAAGCACCTGGAGGGCTCCCAGGAGTGCTGTGCAGGAGCACCGGCACTCTGCACACTCAGGAAGGTGGCGGTTATGATAAGGCACCAGCCAAAGGGACTGGAGGTGAAGGATCAGTTGTATTCCCAGGGCCTTGCTGTGGTGGACAAGCGCTCCACCACCAAGCCACTGCCTCAAGCCCTGAGCCTTTCTGTTAGACACCGGCACAGAGCCATGAGTGAGCTAACATTTACATTTCAGAAGTGTATTTAGGAAGATGATTTACATATGAATTTAAGAAGCTCAAAAGTAGAATTAGGGATGACTGAGGTAGTAATCAGCCCCTTAAAATTACAAAGGAGGTAAATGACTAAGACCTATAATGAGTTATGGCCAGGCGTATAGCTCAGTGGTGCAGTGCCTGCTTGGCAAAAGTGAGGTCCTGAGTTCAATTCCTAGTACAAAAAAAAAAAAAAAAAAAAGAGTTACATGAAATATATTAAAAACAGAAGGCCATTGGTAGAATTAGTGAGTGCATTTGGTTGATAGTTCAAACAAGCTACCAGAAATAATGGAAAGAGAGCAGAAGCGCTTGCTTGTTTCCTTCTACTTCTTTTGTGGGACTCTTATGCTTGAAGAGTCCCTTCAGTGTGCTCAGGTCGAAGTACTATAAGTACTAACAATACCTGATGTCCCAATCCTGCTTCTGTATGTACTGTACACTTTATATACTTTGAGTCACTCATAATTTCTTGTTTCTTTATTTCATTTTTAATTATTTTTTTCTGAGACAGTTTTGTTTTTTTTTTTTAATGTATTCTAGGCTGGGACTTACTATGCAGCGGGCCTCATACTCAGTGATCCTCCTGTCTCAGCCTCCCAAATGCTAAGGTTATAGGTGTGCACCACCAAGCCTGGAAAATCCATATTTCTAACATGATTGCTGATAAATTTTCATGGCATAAAGGCAAGAAGGATTTTGCCAAGTGCAATGTTCTTTGATTAACAGATTTGTTTGAAAAACTATTTCAAATAATAAAGATAAATATCGAGGCTTTGTTAGACTTAACTTTTTTTCTAGGTCACAGTCCATGTTGTTACAGATCAGGAAAAAAATTAACTAAGTCAAACCTTCCGTCTTTTTTGTTGTGTGATTTTTTTTTTTTTTTTTTTTTTTGGTGGTACCAGGGATCAAACTCAGGGCCTTGCCCTTTCCAGACAAGCACTTATTCCACTGAGCTATCTACCCAGCTCCTAATTTTTTTTTCCTAAGTTTTTTTTGTGACCAGTTCAGCCCACCCTGGGGGTGGGGCTGGCATGGCATGTGGTACCAGGGATCAAACTGCGGTCCTTGTGTTTGCCTAAGCTTGCCTAAGCAGGTGTTTAGACCACTGAGCTATCTTGGCAGCCCTGTTATGTGATTCTATTTCCCAGTAATATACATATAATATTGAAAGCCTCCTTTGCCTATGTTAAGTATTTCACTGTTTTTATGTTACATAAAAAAGCAAAGTGAGGTAAAAAATATTTGGGACAAGCGTATTATTAAACATTGTATTTTTAATGCTTGCTTCTATATAATATATGTGAGGTTCCATCCCTGGTGTGCTGTGCCGGCCCCACCCCCAGGACACATTGAGATGGTGACTGAGATTGGGTGTGGAGGCACACACCTATAATCCCAGCCCTTGGGAGGCTGAAAACAGGAGGATTGCTATGAGTCTAATCTGTGTAGTGAGACCCTGTAGACCTTGTACTAAATGCATTAAAAAAAAGAAAATTTGTGAGGCTGGCGTGGTATACGGGCCTGTAATCCCAGGATTCAGGAGGCTGAGGCAGGAGGATTGCATGTTCAATGCCAGCCTGGACTGAATGATAAACTTAGGCTCTGTGTATGTGTGTTCTATTGTTTTTGTTTTTCTATATGGAAGACTGAACCCTGTGCTTTCACACTGAGCAGTATCATCAGTCCTTTTTATTTATTTTGAGACCGAGATTTGCCAAGTTGTCTAGGCTGGGTTCAAACTTAATGATGCTTTTGCCTTAGCCTTCTAGGGTGCTGGGATTACCAGTATGTGCTATTGTGCCTGTCTGTCTAGGTCTATTTTAACTGTTTGAGATGTCATTATGAAAGGTAATTCTGATCATCCCACAAAAGTACCTGATGAGAGAGAAAGTGAAGAAGAGAGTTAAAAGATAGAGGCCACAAATGAAGGAGTAGTAGTTAATAAGCAGCAAATAGCAGCAGGGTTCTAGAGAATTTAGCTCACATTGTGGAACAAATCAGTACTCATCAGAGAACGTGGGGGCAGATGGGTCCCGGAGGATGAAGAGGTTTCCTGTGCTCATTGGATGCACGCCATGGATCCAGTTTCTTGTTTCGCATCTCGGGTAAAGCACTTTGCACAGCCACGTTTTCATCCTCCTCTCAAGGCCCAGTGCTTTCAGTGGATTTTGGAACTAATTTAACAATAACCACAGGGTGGGGGCCAAGGGAAATCCTTAGACCTCAGGATGGGCCACAGCCATGGAAGAGAAATCAAAGAAAAGTGGAGCAACAGTGGGCACAGCTGTGGCTCATGAGTGAAATCCGTCTGCATGGTTTGACTTCCCACTTCCTTAATTTGTGTTTTTCCTCTGCTCTGCTTTCACAGAATTGCTGGATTCCACAAACAACAATCTGTGGCCCCTGATGCTGTCTTTGGAGGTGGCGGTTTGGTTTATCTTGCCTGTTTTCATTGTGGAAATCCTTCTGAAGTGGGTAGCCAGCTTCTCTCTGTACTGGAAGGACCCCTGGAATGTCTTTGACTTTGTTGTCACCCTGTTGGTAAGGACAGCCAGTGCCTGAGCACCAGCTAGTGGGTTGCAGAGTGCACCTAGTTGACTGGAAACAAGAAAACAGAAAGACATGAATACAGATGTGCCTAACTTCCTTTGATTTTTGGAGTCAACACCAGACATTGCAGAGATTGTTGGCATTAGGAGCGTGATGATATACAACACCCCAACAGTGACAACTGTCAGTCCCTGAGCACCCAGTGAGTTCCGAGCACTGTTGGAAAATAAGCTCTCATGTTAGTCCCTCTTAAACCTCAGCAAGTTGAAACACAGGGCATCAACATGCAGTGTAGAAAGGCTGAATAGGAAACAGTCCCCCAAGAGCTAGTCAAGGGATGACGCCAAGGAACGGAGGGGGCCAGGGTGGGGAAGACAGGCTGCTGTGCTGAGGAGCTTTCAGGTACGTTGCACTTATGATCTTGCTTCCCACAGCCCTTACTTTATGAAATCTTGGTGCTGGGAGGGGTAACAGGCCATCCCGTGTGGCTCGAGCTGCTGAGTATCTGCGGTGTGATGCGGTGTTTCAGGCTCTACGCACAGTTCCATCAAGTCCGAGTCATTATTTTGGCCCTGGTCAGAACCTTCAAGGTGATTTGATGCATGCAGCTTCAGTGTGGGGACGTGGGCTTTGCCACTGTGTAACATGACTGGGCCTTGTGGGGGTAAGGCGGGACTGGGAAGGCCAGATCAGCCTCGTCTGCCTGCCTCTGACTCACTTGAGGTCCTGTCCTCTAGAGCATCCGATTTCACTTCATGTTGCTGCTCATCCTCTTCTACATTTTCGCCGTGGCCGGTGTCTACTTCTTTAAGGATTACAGCCGTTCAACTCTCCAGGACCTGGAGTACCAGGAGGCCTTCTTGTAGGCAGGGTGGGGGAACGCTTGGGTGAGGGAGGGAACTCCGGTTAGGTACTTGCAGCTCACGCAAAGCACAGTAATGCAGAAGGGAAGGATAGCCTGGGGAATCTGAGCAGAGCACAGCAAGCACAGGGAAAGCGAAAGCGAGGGAACAGCGAGAGTAGCTCTGGCTCTGGTCTGAAGGGCAGATGGCTAGTTCTGGGTATTCTAAATTTAAACACAAGTACCACATTTTAATTCAGTATACTCCTGTGGAGAAGCCCTGGTTGCTATGATTAGTTACCAGTTTTGGAAAATGGGAGTCATAGGTGTGCTGCCTCAGAAGATAAATGAGATAATGCATTTATATGCTCTGCACAAGACACCATGAGTAGTCAAAAATGTCACTGTGTCTCGCAGACAAGATCATTACTGAACCCTCTTCAGACATCAGGTGTGGCCATCACACAGGAGCTCCCCTGTGTTCACTCTTCAGTCGAATTCCTAAGGCCTCTGTCTGGAAAACACTTGCTTCGAAGAAAGTCAACTTGAATTGAGAGAGATAATCTTGTTCTTGAAATTTAATCCAGTCTTATGAGAACCTTCCAAGTCTTTCTTAGACTCTTCATGGGCAGTTTTGTAAAAGTGGACCTAGAAGTCATTCCTGATGTTTTCAATAAATTATATGTAGGGAACTAAGAAGGAAAGAGGAAAAATTTAGATACTTTCCTTATGTGGATATAAGATTTCACAATAGTATCTAAATTTCTTTTTCTTTTGGAGTGTCAGGAATTGAACCCCTGTCCTTGCACATACAAAGAAAATGCTCTACTAGTGAACTATATACCAACCCTGAAATATTTAGTTTATGTTATTATTATTTTTTTTTTGGCGGAACCGGGGATCGAACTCAAGCCCTTGCGCTTGCCTGGGAAGTGTTTATTCCACTGAGTCATCTTCCTGGCCCCTAGCTTATGTTAATTGTATTAATTTTACAATTTTTATATTTGTATACATTCATTCTCATTAATTATTTGGGACTTGATATGTTTGTTCAGTTATCCATTTCTTATTTACCTGGGAGTGCCTAACAGTGAACTAGAGAGGATAAAATCCATAAAGCAGGGCTGGGGAGATAGCTCGGTAGTCTAAGCGCCTACCTGGCAAGTGCAAGGACCTGGGTTCAATCTCTGGTACTGCATGCAGTACCAGTCCTGTAACCCTGGGTGTACCATGTAAGCCCCTAAACTGTGTGTGGTGGTGCCCCCTATAATCCCAGCACTGGGGAGGCTGAGACAGGAGGATCACTATGAGTCTGAACTTTGTAGTGAGACTCAGTATCAAATAATAATAAAAAAATCCATAAAGCAGTGATGAATGAATGAATTTAGAAGAACTATTTACTTTGATTCATTCATTGTTAAAAATTTAGCCAGTACTTGTTGAGTATAGTACTTACTCTGCTCCAGGACAATTAGAATAGTGAGAGGCATTCCTTGGTTATTCATAATAAAGGAAAACTAAATAAAAATAGCTTCAAGCTGAAGGACAAATAGCCAAAACAAAAACTGAATATGGGGGGCCTGCCCCTTAGCTCAGTTCTTTAAGTGGCTGCTTCAACAAAGCAGTCAGGCTCAGGTTGCTGTGGTTCGATCCCCACAAC